TCAGGAGCGGGGCAAAAGTGAGTCACAGTTGGTCGGCTGTTGCTTCTTGATCTTGAGTAGGGATTGGCATTTGTTTGAGCCCAAACGAAAAAAAAAAACGACCCATTTCATTCGAAATGGGTCGTTTTCCCCCTGTGCCCGTTTGGTGCCCAGCGCTCCTCCGCCCAGCCCGCCCTCGCTTCCATCCTTCCAACCATTCTATTAATCATGGGCGCTGGCTTAAGAAGATGGCTCTTCGAAGTTTCTTCAACGATCAAGCCAAGGCAGCCATGGCGGCGAACCTTCCGCAGTTGGGTTCTAAGCCCGGGTGGGCATTCGAGGACTTCTTCACATTAGATCCGACGGAGGAGCATCGACTCAAAATGGGGTTGGCGATCCACCTGAAACTCCAATACGATAACATCAACATGGGTGAGCCTTGCGCAGTCTCGGTTGACGGCGTTCGGGCTTACAAGCCAGACGTGATCGCGGAGGCGCACAAGAAGTTTTTGCAAGCTGTTTCGGCGAACGCGCCCCTACAGGACCCCACGATGGCTACAGTGATCAGCGCGCTCCAGGCGAAGTGGTGCATGCCAGGGAAGGTGTTCAACCTCGGGTACGTGAAGGATTGGATCACCAAGAACGTCGAGAACTGGGGCCCCAGCATAGAGAGGCGCGCGGGCGGACTGCAGCCCGACACGCCGTACGGGGCGCAGCACCTCACCCTGAGCAACCAGAGCTCGCTGTTCGGATTGTTCGCGCTTGGCGTGATGCAATTCCTGCACGGCTCGATGGGCGCCCGCGTGGAGGCTGCCTTCAAGAGCGTCCGCGTGATGCTCTTCTTCGGCGCCGAGGGGGAAGACGTCGAGGTCCTGAACGCCAACGAGAACATCGCCAAAGAAGAGTACAAGCGGCACTGCGAGCTCGAAAACATCATGGTGGTCCAGCAATGGTGCGAGAATATGCGGACGGCAAAGCCTTTGGACCCGACGAAGGCCATTGACGTATTCAAATTCTCCGCTGTCCTGGGCGACCCTCGTAAACCGGCACCGCGGTGGCTTGCTGGCCTCCTTGGCCAGAAACCACCCACGCGCGCCAACAAGATTGCAGCAGTCACGAAGAAGGAGGTCACGTCGCGCTGGTTGGGCGAGAATAAGGTGGCAGCGGCCCACGCGCAGATGAGGAGCTTCCAAGAGGTATCGCTCCGCGTGCGCTTCCTGAAGGGTTTCTCGCCGAAGGCGCTGGAGATCATGACGGTGGATATTTGGTCGGAATTGGGCAAGCAAGGCTTGGCCCACAAGCCATTCCCGATCACCCGCGCCATCCTCATGTCACCCGAGATCCTGACGGCCGCGGCGTTCGCGTCGACAAAGGAGAAAGACGCCGTCCCCCCGTACCGCGACGGCGAGGCAGGGGCTCTATTGCAGGTCCGCATGGCGGAGTATGCCGCCCGCCGCGTTTTCGAGTTCCGCGCCAAGCACAAGTCCATGGACGCCTTCAGCAGCGCGCCAGCCTGGGTGGCGTTCGCCCGTCTGCTCCCGTTCGTCGAGAGCGTCTTGAACTCGGAGTACGGCCCCGACTCGCGCGCGTGGCCGGACCAGGCCACCGCCTTGCACAAGCAGCTGTGGGTTGGAGAACACGACGCCGATCTAGTCCAGGTCTCGGCGCAGATCCCAGGCCATTTCGACGCGCGTCACTCCGAGATGGTAAAGCTCCTGTCGTCGATCTTCTCGCCGCTGCAGCGCGCGATCAAGGCCGTCGCTGCGGCGAAGGCGATGCGCGTGGCGGAGCAGCCGCCGCCGCCGCCGCCAGACCAGGCAGCCGGCGAAACCCTGGATGAGGGCTGCAAGAAGGCAACCGAGAGGACTGGGGACGTCACCGACGAGCTCGCAGCTGGCTTGGACCTGGCGGAGAAGAAGAAACTTGTCGCCGACTTGAACAAGCAGGCTTGGCGGGGAATCTGGGGCCCGCCCCATTGACCCAAAGTTCGGTTAAATATTCAGACGCCCTAGAAAGATCAACAAGGCCCCCGAGCGCACCCCCACTCCCCGGTCGGGCTGGCGCCCCAGATTGCCCCCCAGCAGGCGGTTCAAGACCGCAGCGCTTCGTCGAGGCGCCTCATCGCGCAGCAGGCGGCCGAGATCATGCGCAACCGGGTGGTGATCGTGCGCACTGGCTCCGAGGCGAAGAATTGGATGGAGAGCCACAGTCCTGGTTACGTTGCCCGCGCCGTTGTCGTGGATCTCGCGATGTCGGCGAAGCTGGTGTCGGGCCCGAAGAGCCGCTCGATCTGCAGGGCGCCGGGCGAGGCGGACTGCAAAGATTGGTCTGATACCATCAAGATTTTGCCGGCCACGCCCATCATAGGCCACGTCCTCGTCCGACCGTGCCACCAGAGCGGCATCCACAAGCTGCACGAGAACCTTGCAGATACGCACCGCCATTTGCGCTCGATCTGCGTGCCTGTCCACGTGCCGCCAGGTTTCATCAGACATTTGAAATCAAATGCCGCCCGCAGCGGCGGGCCCGCGGACGAGACCATTGAGCGTTCGGGGGTCGACTTCCAAATGCGCACCATCGGCCGGAGACTCGCCAAGAAGGGCACGGGCCCGCAGGTGGGCGACGAGGGCGCGGACTCTGGCGAGGAGGAGGGCGACGGCGAGTCGTCTGGGGCCGAGGGCACGTCGAGCAAGGAGAAGAGCCAGCTCGATGAGGAATTCTTGGACGCCTGCGACCCGCACTTGATGAACGAGGAGCAGTTGCGCGTCATTTTCGGCGACAAGGCATCGCAGGCCGAGAACATCATGTTCCAGCACACGTCCCGCATCACCAGCGAGGCGGAGTTCATGCCCATGGCCGACGTCTTCAAAGTCGCGCTGGGCGCCCGCGCCCAGCCGCGGGCGCACCGCAAAGGTCAGGTCCACCCCACCGTGTACATCGAGGCGCTGCGGTCCGCCCTGAATTGCAGCCCGATTCCATTATCGGAGAACGAGGTCATGGTGATCGTGACGGGTGGGGCACCTGAGGCCATCGTGGCGGCGATCGTGTGCGGGTACAAGCACGTCTTGGTCATTGCGAACGACGAGAACGAGATCAAAATGCTGCAGACGCCGCCGCTGGCCGAGGAGCGAGAGCTCAACGTGGATTATGGAGCATACGTATCTCCCGACCCGATGGAGCCTCTCAAGGGCATGCTCTCGGCGGCCGCGATTCGCATGATGGCGCCGTTCATCAGCAACTTCGTCAGCAAGAGCGCGGGCTACAAGTTGGAGCCTCCCGGCGAGCTGAACTTGCCGCCATTGAAAACATACACTTTCATTCCCCTCACTGGCGCCATCATCGCGAGGCACGTCGGGGAGGAGGAGAAGACTACCACGGGCCCCGCGAAGATCAAGGGCCCCGCGGCATCCACGAGCGCAGAGAAGTCAGCGGCGGGCGAGAACGCCATTGACGAGGAGGAGGAGGCTGACGACGCCGAGGAGGACGCTGGCGACGGCTGCGGCGACGAGGAGGATGAGGACGACATATCCGCACAGCTGAAGAAGCTCACCGAGATGGAGAGCAAGGCCGCTGGCAAGCGCCCCGCGCCCAGCGGCGACAAGTCGGGCAAGAAAAAGAAGAAGCAGAAGGTGGCCTCGAAGGCATCGGCCGCGGCCCCGCGAGGTGCTCGGCAGGTTTGCGTCGGCCGCGATGGGCGGCCCCCGTCGCCGAGGGTGCGATAGAGCGTTCGCGCCCAGTGATCGCGAGATGCGTCGGCCGTCGCTGACTGGCGCGGCATGGTTTTTATTGGTCGGCCGAGGGGCTGCGAAGGAAAAAGCGGCGAGGGGCGCAGCGAGGAGAAAGAACGATTGGCCCGTGGTTGCGAAGAGAAGCGGGCCGTTTAGACTAAGAAAACAACCCATTCTGAACTAAATGGGTCGTTTTTCGGCCTTTGTTTTTGCGATGCAAATATCTTGTTTTGCCGGCGCACGGGCGATTCGGCGTGCTATGTGTGCTTCTTTGTTTGAGGGAGTGGTTCGCATGGCCGATCGGTTCTCGGTGCGGCGCCTTCGGCGCGAGCGCGATGTAGCACGCAGCTTGAAGGCCTTGGTCCTCCTCTGAATCCACCTTCCCCCGCCTGACCACCATCTCCCTCCTTCTCCTTGTCCTCCCCGCGCTGCCCGCGATCCCCCTTTGTCCGCGTCCTTTTCAAGATTGCCCGCCTGCCCGCCCATCTGCCCCCTGTGCCCCCCCCTGCCCCAGACCACCCGCCTTCCCCTGCTCCTCTTTTCCTGAAGCGCCTATGGTTGCATTCTTCCCGTTTCCCCCCCCCGGGCACTTTTGGTCATCATGCCGCTACTTAACCCCAAACCTCTTCCGATCCACTTCGCGATTCCGTTTCTCCCCCCATCCGTCGTGCCCGGAACCCCATGTCCACCTGTCCCATGTCCCATCCTTTTGCCGTTTCATCTGGGGCCGCCACGTCTAGCCTCCGAGGCCCCCGTTGCCCGCTCGCCCCTCTCGCGAGGACGGGGATCGCAAATTGCGCCAGACGCGCGGCGGCAGCGTCCAGCAGCGACGCCCCCCCCGAAAAAAAAACTACCCATTTTGCACGAAATGGGTCGTTTTATCACTTCGGCGCCCCTGTAATATTTTCTCCGCCTTCTCCCTTGGCTCTCCCCCCCCCCCCCCTCGCCGCATCATCCTTGTTTACGTTGCATCCGCCGCTTCGGTTTCCACGTTGACTTTCATTCCCACCTCCGCCCAAACTCCCCGCCCCCCCCCCGTCGAATCCGCCGCCGTTTTTTTGGTTGAGTTGGGGGCCGCTGGCGGCTTCCAGCGGCGCCATGTTCTTCCGCCGACTGCCCGGCGACAGCGCCGCCCCATGCCATGGGGCCAAGAGGCGGGCGTCGCAAGCGCAGCGGCAGCGGAGACTGGCGGACCGCGGCCGCCGCATGCTTGCGCGGCGTTTGTGCCGGCACGCCTGCCGCGGGGGGGGCTGCTCACTTTGCCAAGTCGATGCGTTCACGCGGAGCCCCAGGATGGTGAGCATCCTGGAGCGGTGGCGCGCACAGTGGGACGCCATGCCTGGCGCCGAGCAGAGGCAGCAACTGTTGGACCATCTGTGGTCGTGCCAGGGCAGCGCCCCTGCGCGCCCGCCAACCGCGAGATCGCCAGGGATCCGACGCGCGCCCGTGGTGGCGCGTCGCCAGTTTCAGTTGTTCGGACGCCCCCTCTGCTTGAAAGCGTGGCGGGCCATTACTGGCATTAACCCTTGGCGGGCTTCTCGGCAATTGAGCAGGGGTGAGACCACGTGGCGCCATGCGGGTTTTGTCAGGGCCAGCCCCCGCACAGACGAGATGATCGCTGGCATCCAGCATATCGTGCGGGTCTTGGTCGCTTCGTCACCCCTGCAGAATGCAGACCCTGATGTAGTCGAGCTCCCCTTCCACGAGAAAAAGTTTCTGTTCCGCATGTTGGTCGAGGATTTGTGGGTCAAAGCCCGAGCAGAACGTCGGCGCACACCGCTGTTCAGCAAGCCCCCGAAATACTCCACGTTCATCCGCGCCTTGCAGCTCCCAGTGTTTGCGAAGCTTCGCTTTCACCGCATGGTGTCCCTGGGCCGTTGTACCAAATGTGCTTTCTTCCGTTGGAAATGCATGTCCGTATCCTCCGAGGACGAGCGCAGAGCATGGCAGAAGGTCGCAGCGGCCCACCACCTCTTACAACTGGACCAGAAGCGGATTTATTGGGCGGACAGGGCTGTCGCAGCCAGCGACTACCCGAAATCAGAACTTTACCTCGCTTTCGACGGGGGTTCAGGATATGAGTTTTGGCTACCGCATCTATCTGGGGCGGCCGCGGAGGTCCCAGTCAAGGCGGCAGACAACGTGCATTGCCCGCAATTCAAAGTGATGAACGGCCTGGTGCACGGGGACACTAGGTCTCACATCATCTTGAGCCCGTGGTGCGTGGTGGCGGGGTCTAACCATGTCTGCGAATGCATTGCCATCGCCGTGAACACCGCCTACGAGGAGCACGGCAATCTGCCACGCAAGTTGTCCGTGCAGATGGACAACGCTTCTGTGAACCACAGCATGTGCGTGTTGGGCTTTTTGGCAATTTACGCGTTGGTCGACGTGTTCGACGTCGTGCGGCTGCGCTTCGAGTTGCCCGACCACGCGCACGACGTGTACGACGCCTTCCATTCCATCCACAGGACCGCGGTGGCAAAGGAGACCTTTTTCCATCTGGAGGAGCTGATCGACATCATGAAGGCATCTCACAAAGCAAGCTTGCTGCACCGCGAGTCCTCAGAGTCCTCGGGTTCGTCAGGGTGGCAGAGCCAGGGCGGGCACAGACCTGTTATGGGACCGGACGTATTGGTCACAAACCTTTGGGAAATCCGTGATATTTGGGAGTGGTTGTTTCCAGGGCACTCGACCAAATCAGCTGAGTCGACCGCGAGGGGAGGGGTGATGTACTACGAGAACATCGGCGGCATCCACGATTTCGAGCTGCGGAGGGTTCCGAAACGAGATGGCATCGTCGTCGAACTATGGGCCAAACAGTATATGAGTTCCCCAGCTTATACGTTTATCGGGGATATAACTAATTGGTCGTTGTATAAAGCGGTAGTAAAAGGTTTGCCACAACGAGCGGGCGAGTCGACCACCGAGGCCAAGACGAAAGCAGGAGACGGGCAACTGAAGAAATTACAAAAGTTGACCCGGTCGGGCAACGAGCAATTTGCGGAGCCGCGGCTCGCGGACGCCGTGGCCGTCGCAAAAAAGAATTGGGCTCATTTCGATTCCTCTTCGGGCTACGCGTCGGAGGCGGGCCCGCGACGGTGGATGCCGCCCCAGCTAGCTTTACACATGCATCGGATGGGCCTCCGCGGTCGCAAGTGCGCGAGGGAGAGCGCCGCCATATCCCCCGAAGCTTCGGCGGCGTTGCAGGCTACTGGCGACGCCCCGGTCCCCCGGCAGCGCTGGCACGCTCTGCAACAGACGTGCGGCATCAGGCGCAGCGAGGGCACTCCCATAGCGGCGCTTCCTCGCAGCTGCCCACCAAGCACTGTAGACGAATTTGTGCGAAGGCCCGTGATCGCGGGAGTGCACGTCCTCACGGATCCAGCACCGAACAGCCCGCTTGGGCGCACCAGGCAGCGCCTTGTAGGATTGCCTGTGTGGGTCTGGCGTGTTTTGCGCATCATCGAAGTAGGCGGCAGGCTGCCGCCCAATTCGAAGCACGTGGCCGAGGCCACGGGCCGCACGTTCGAGGCCCAACTTCTGGTGCCCCGCGGCCCGCTTTGGAGCGGCCCGCTGAAGCCGGCTTGGAGGCGCGGCGAGGTTGCTTTTTTGTTAACCCCCGCAGAGAAGGCGGCTCGCCGCCAGGCGCAGAGTTCGCCAGTTTCTCGGCCCGCATCGCTAGCGTCAGCACAGGTGACGCAGTCAAATGTGCCGGTGACTGCGATGCTGCGCCCTGAGAATATCATCGGTGGCGGCTTCGGGCTGACGGCGTCGATGTGCGCGCCGACAGTAGTGAGGCAGTTCGTCGCTTCGAGGTCAGCGGGTGGGGGCTAGAGCGATTGAGAAAAAAGGAAGGAGGCGTGAGTGTCCCTGTCCCGAAAACTTAAGTTTCCGAGACGGGTTTTCAACGTTGCACCCCCTGGCGCATTCAAGCCTGAACGTAACAGTGCTTCTAAGACGCGTTTCGGGACGTTTCGCCGTTGCCCGGCTTACGATTTCACTCGGTGGCGTGTCTCGAAAACTTGCTCGGTTGATTTCAGGCCAGCCCGCGCCGTTTCCTGGGCAGGTTTGGGGCGGCGGCCTTGCGTTTGTCGCCATTGAATGAGGGCGGCTAGCAGATATTGCGTCCCTCGTCCACCTCCGTCCTCTTCCCGCTGGTCGGCCCTACCTCCCCCCCATTCCTCCCATATCTTCCTCGTCATCCTCACCCGCTTCCTTTTTCCTAGCGGACGGCGTCCTGGTCCTCCCCCCAGCAAACAAAAAACGACCCATTTAGAACGAAAAGGGTCGTTTTTGTTCGCTCACGTGCGCGACTGGCTGGGTATACTACTCCGAAGGCCTGTCGGCCGGTGCCGCGGACCTTGAAAGACGTCGACGACGACGAGGAGGACGAGGAGAAGGAGGACGGGAGGAGGAGGGGGAACATATGAGGAAGAGGACGGAGGAGGAGGAGGAGGAGGATGGGACGGAAGAGAAGGAGGAGGAGCAGCAGCAGCAACAGCAGCAACATCATCAAAAGTGGGGGGAGGAGGAAGATAAGGAGGATGATACATTTTCGGAGAAGGGAAAAAGAGGAGGAGAAAGAAAGGAGGAGGGGGACTGAGGAGGAGGAAGACGAGGAGGAGGAGGATACATGAGAAAGGGGACAGAGGACGTGGGGTAGAGGGGAGGAGGACGGAGGAGTAGGAGGAGGAGGAGGAGGAGGAGGAGGAGGAGGGGAGGGAAGAGGAGGATAATGAGAAAACGGCCCAGTGGTACGAAAAGGGTCGTTTTATTTTTTCCTCCAGTGCGCGACTGGCTGGGTACACTGTGAAGGCCTGTCGGCCGGTGCCCCCGACCCTGAATGACATCGACGACGACGAGGAGGACGAGAAGGAGGAGGAGGAGGAGGAGGAGGAGGAGGAGCAGGACGAAGAAGAGAAACCAAGGAGGAGGAGGAGAAGGAGGAGGGGGAGAAGGAGGAGCAGCAGCAGCAGCAGCAGCAGCAGCAACAAAGGGGGAGAGGAGAAGAATGAGGACGAGAGGAGGAACTGGAGAAAAAGGAGGGGGAGGAGGAGGAAGAGGAGGAGGAGGAAAAGGAGGAGGAGGAGGAGGAAGAGGAGGAGGAGGAGGACGACGAGACCCTGCAGCCTTGCTACAGCAGCTGCTTCTCTCCCCCCGCGTCTCCCTACTCCGTGTCCTCCTTCACCTTCCTGCTGCTGCTCCCCTTGGGCCGACCCCCCCTCCGGAGGCGCCTGCAGCGCGCTGCCGGGCAGCCGCGGCAGCCGCGGCAGCCGTCGCCAGCCGCGGGGGGCCCCTCCTTCCTCCCAGTTCCTCCCCCTTCCATTTCGCCGCCCCCCTTCCCCCTCCTACACCACCTCCTCCTCCTTCGCCTCTTCGTCGTCCTGCTGCCCCTCCCCCTCCCCCTCCCCTCCTCCTCTCTCCTCCTCCTCCTCCTCCTCCTCCTCCTCCTCCTCCTCCTCCTCCTCCTCCTCCTCCTCCTCCCTCCTCCTCCTCTCCTCCTCCTCCTCCTCCTCCTCCTCCTCCTCCTCCTCCTCCTCCTCCTCCTCCTCTCCTCCTGCGGTTCCTCCCATCTTCTCCTGCTCCCCCTTCTCCTCCGGCTCCTCGGGCTCCTCCTCCTCCTCCTCCTCCTTTTCCTCCTCCTCCTCTTCCTCCTCCTCCTCCTCCTCCTCCTCCAATTCCCCTCATCTCCTCCTGCTCCTCTTCCGCCTGTTCCTCCTCCCTTTCCACCTCATGCCCTCCCCCCTTCCTCTGGCGACAGACGACTGGCGACAGACGAACGACGACGACGAAGACGACGAGGACGACACCGAGAAAACGACGACGAGGGGAGGAGGAAGAGGAGGGGGATAACGAGGAGGAGGAGGAAGAGGGCCGAGGAGGCTGGAGAAGGAAGAGGAGGAGGAGGAGGAACAGGAGGAGGAAGGGGAGGGGACGAGAAGGAGTGGGGGGAGGATGACGTCATGAGGAGCACACGGGGAAGCGTCTGTGAATAATTTGGTCGAAGCAAGGGCCTGCAGCAAGAGGTGCATATCATGCGCCGAAACCCACAGCACAGAGAACGTCCGAACCACAACCTCAATGTTGCGAACCACAACTTGATGATTTTCGCTTAAGGGTCGCCTCGCAACGCAAGGATGGGAATTCCCAGGACAGACAGAACGCCTCACGAACATCCGATTCGCAGACGATGTGTTGCTTTATGCCCGGTCGCTGGAGGACGCCAAAATCACGCTCTCAATCTTAACTGAAGAATTCCAGGCCGTGGGGCTGCAACTGAACGCCGCGAGAACCAAGATTAGATCTTATCCTCCAGAAGCGTTGGTGCTCCACCCGGCACTTGCTAAATCGAATGGATTGCAGGCCGCTGCTTTCACGTGCTGTCCCTGGGCGAATATCGCGCCTATTTTGGGAGAGCCCTCAGCCTGTCAAAAAACAGGGCAACAATTGCCATTAAGAGGAGCATATCAGCGGCATGGCACCAATTTCAGAGAAAATGCCAAATTCTGATGAGCCAGCATGTCGGTGCCGGTCATCGCATCAAGCTAATCAACTCCACGGTCTTGCCAGTCTTGTTGTAGGTGTTGTCCAGCCTGGCGCTGAAACCGCAGCACCACGCCATGCTCCGGGGAGCGCGGACAAAGATGCTGCGAAATTTGGCTGGCTGGAGGAGATCGGAGGGCGAGAGCTGGCAGGACACGATGCGGAGGATGCAGACGCGCGTGTCGAACATGCTGTCCACGGCGCCCTCCCCAGACGCGTCGGAAAGGATGTTCTCTTTGAAGTGGCGGTTGGCTCGCTGGCTCTTCCGTGGAGGGGTTGAGAAATGGGCGCCCGTTCTTCGACATCTGCAGTCTGCCCACAAGCGAGCACGAGGCAGACCACCGTTGCAATGGATGGACGACTTCGGACACTTCTACACGCAAGTAGGGGCAGATTCTCTGGAACAGGCGCTGCAGACGCCGGGCAGGGAGGAACAGTGCATCAGGTTCTGCATGATGAAAGTGTGATGCCCCTCCCTCCTCCTCCCCCCCCGTTCTCCCCCTCCTTCCCCCGCTTCCCCCCCCGTCTGTTGCATTTTTCCGAATTCCCAATTCCACATTCTGCTCACGTTTCATATCTGTTGTCTGGCTGGTAGTCGAATTGTACGCCCATGCCCTGCACAGGGCCGAGCAGCCGACAGGCATGCTCGCGTGGTTCGCTCGCTCGCCACGGTAGTCCGCACTTGGCCTTGCAGTCTCGTCCGCAGCTCTTGCATCTCCTGTCGTAGGTCACCGATCTCGTCACCAAGGTCAGCAGAAGCAGGAGGTGGCACCGCACCAGACTGAGCAATTGGTACGTCTTCCACTGTAACCGCATCGGGCGTAGAATCAACTGGTGGCAACGGTTGAAATGAGAAAGAAATGTGGGACTCCCCAGTGGAGCTGAGGTGGCCAGGGTCGACAACGACTGCTTCTTTGCAAATGGCTTTGAGAACCTTCAGGATCGCAATGAGAGGTCCGTTCCGTTCAAACTGGTTACCGTTCTTCAGCAAAATAAAATGCACGACCACTCGATCGACATGTGAGTTCATGCGGAAACGGCACTGGCGTCCTTCGGCAAGTTGTGCAACAGTCCAGTCAAGACGTCCGACATGAGGCATAACAAGCGAGCGGAGCGCACACGCGCCCCGAGGGCCCATGAGTCTGCAAGCGCTTAACCCAAAGTGACTCTATGTGTTTATTTATATGCACGTGATCAAAGGTCGACGGCTCACAGGCCAGGGTTCCAGACCCACCCCCTGCCCAGCGCCCAATTGGGATGGGGGGGTGGCGGACCCCGACGCCGACGCCGACGCAAACGCCAAACGCCGACGCCGACGCCGACCCCGACGCCGACGACGACAACGACGACGACAACGACGACGGCGATCCCATTCGCGAGGCCTTCGCGAGGCTCACGGGCGTATCCATCCCGCGGGGGGGGGGAAGGGAAGCTCGATATCATGTCCACGGGGGGGGGGGAAGGAGGAGGAGGAGGAAGAGGAGGAGGAGGAGGGAGAGGCGGAGGAGGGGAGGAAGGAGGAGGAGGAGAGGATAGGAGGAGGAGGAGAAGGATCGGAGGAGGAGGGAGGAGGAGGAGGAGGAGGGAGGAGGAAGGAGAAGGAGCAGGAGGCAGGAAGGAGGGGGGAGGAGAGGAGGAGGGGAGGAGGAGGAGAAGGAGGAGGAGGAGGAAGGAGGGAGGAGGAGGGGAGGGGAGGAGGAGGGGGAGAGGAGGAGGAGGAGGGGGGAGGGGGGGAGGGGGAGGAGGAGGAGGGGGAGGAGGGAGGAGAGGGAGGAAGGGGAGGAGGAGGAAGAGGAGGAGGGAGGTGGGAGGAGGAGGAGGAGGAGGAGGAGGAGGGAGGGAGGAGGGAGGAGGGATTCCTGGATCTTATACCCTGGGAGGGAGGGCGGCCAGCCCTCCCCCCCGGGTGGGGTGCCGAGGCCGGCCCCCCTGGTCTCCAAGCGGGTGCCGCCGCGCTGCCAAAGCGAGAGCGAGAGCCGCAGCAAGGAAGGGGCCGCCCCTGCCGCGGCGAGCCTCGGCCACGAATCGGCTCCGCGGCGTGAGCTCGAAGCGGCCCC